ACACACACACACACACACACACACACACACACACACACACACACGCATGCTATGAACAATGAACATGATTGTCTGTTGAACTTTGGCAAACACTCGCTCACAGAGTCACAGGAACTCCCGTACACGCCCGTAGATGCACAGAAAAAGGGGGAGAGGTAGTGGAGTGTCCCACCGCCCAGAAGAAGAAACTCAACGGAAGACTCAGAGAAGCGAAGTGACAGAATACATAATTCAGTGACTTCTCTCCACAACAATCATTCATAGATAACAACCGAGTGATCACAAGATTCACAACCAGAAAGCAATGGAGAGATGACAACTCAAACACAGTATTAACACTGTTTATTGAACTCAGAGCATCGTTCAACTGAAGCAACCTCAGAACCCTGTTGCGCTACCCTCAGAGGGGTAGCGCCTCAACCCCAACACCCTGAACAACTAAAAACAGCAACGAAAGTTACTAAACCCCAGCCTCCCCAGGTAACACCCAGCGGGCCAGCGCCACCCTAACATCCAACTCAGTGGCCTGCGCGAAAGTGAAACAGGCTCCCAAAGCCAATCGGAGATCGCCACTCAGATGATGAAGTAGAAGCTCAGCGCCAACAGTACCTGATGAAGATGAAGTCCAGACGATGATAATCTCTGAGAAGATGCAGCTATGGCTGGATCGCCACTGGGAGTCTGGGAGCCTGGGACCCTACTCCTCAGGAGGGTCAGCAGTGCAGCACGTACTCCAACGCATCAGACTTCTGATAGCCCTGACCTCTGGTGTCCCCATCCTATCTATAATCTACATATAGCCTAGACCGACCTAGACCGGATTGACTGACTAGTTTTGGCCTCTAGGGCCTAACCCTACCCGGCTATAGGCTATAGGACCGTCTATCAGCATAGACCCGTAGGGCCTATCTGTCCTAGGGGTAGCCCGGGTCTGCTATTCGCAGTTTGGGTAGCTGTAGGGAAAACGAAGTTCGTATTGGGCCTATATTTCTATATTTACAGATATGTCCCTCGCGAATTTTCCATACAGGCAGGTATCTCGGTCAGTCCTCTGCCAAACAAAGAACGATAGAGAGCAGTGAACACACAGAGTGACACAGTCACACAGTCACACAGTGTTCCTTGACGAATCCTCGCTCTCAGACTCCCGAAAATTTGCGAAAACCAATCTCTCTCTCTCTCTCTCTCTCTCTCTCTCTCTCTCTCTCTCTCTTTGCGCCTCCATTCTTCGCAACAGAGAACGAGCTCTCGCCCGTCGATCAATAGGCGGCAAATGTGCCGATGGCGTGCAATGACCTTCCGGGCCAAGTCCAGTCCTCATCCTCACGCGACGACCTCCGCCGTCATCTCCATTCGCCGTCCGGATCCTTGGGACGTAATCGGAGTCATCAGGATCGTCGGCGCCTGTGGTCTCACCACACTCAGCGGCTGTGGAGCTGTCGTCGTGGATGATGATCGTGCCGCCTCGTCTCTTTTCACCTCGCCGTGATTCGTCCACTCTGTCACCTCCGTCCACCCCGCCCCTTCCATCTGCAGCAGCTGGCATCTGTCTGGTCTCGTCACTGTTGCGGAAAAAAGGATGCGGGCGGCGCTGGTGATACGGAATCGACGCACCTGTTCCCTTCTTCCTCGCCCGTGATAGCCTCGCAGTGGCCGTCCTGGTGTCATGGACATCGGTCGTCTTGGCCCGTATAGGCCTCCCATGCTGCTCCTTGTAAGCTCTCATGGAATCGTGAGAAGTACCATCGACGTTGCCGATCAATCGCGCCCCTGCGGGCACATCTGCCGGTCCGCATGTTGATGCATGTCCGATATCGCCCGCCCTCCGGTCCATGGCCGCACCGTCGTAGAAAGACCTCGTCGGCAATGCGCTCTGCGAGGCCTGCCCGTGGGCAACGGGGTTAGCGACAGGGGAGCGTGAGGGTGGTGGACGCATGATGTCACGCATCCCCATCAAATGCGGTCGAGGCTCATCTGTGTGCGCGTCCCCAACGTCGTGTGCGCTGGGCCTAACAATGTTGGTGTGTGCGGTCGATGACCCTATGCGCTCGATGCCCCCCCCGATGGACCGTCCAGCGTCTGCGCTCCCTGGCTGCGCTGTATCATGGCCCACGCCCTCGCCTCCGTCCGAGCGGATAACTCCGGGAGGCCTCGCCTCTAAAGTCTCCTTCGAGCCTCGATGTGGCTCTCGCTGAGGGCCCTCGTCCGGTGGACAGACCGATGACACGCCGTCCGATAACTGCGCCGCAAAATCTCCAGACGCTGCCTCTAGTGAACCTCCCAGACTACGTTGCGCTGCGATGGGCGGTCCTCCACGACGGTTCCGTGCCACTTCCTCCGCCAACCCCTGCTCCACCGCCCACGGTCCACCGACATGAAAAATGGCGGGAGTGCCGGACTCTGGAGGATGCAGTATCGTATCGCCGCCGAACTCGTCGAACCCTCTGTCACGACGCGCGTCATCTCGTTCAGCAGGCTCCGGTGGTGCCACAACCGCCAAAGTGGGAGATATCATTAGCGATACATCGGGCATAAATGCCAAGGCGGAATCCATGGTCAATAACTCATCGGTGCGCGGAAGACTGTCGGGCGGGCAGTCGAGGCCGACGTGGTGGCCCGTCGGAGGACGTTCGTCCTCCTCGTCCTGTCCACAAGTGGGAGTAGGTGCAACCTCTCCATCCTCTAGACCACCGTCACTCGTGTGAGAAGGCGGCTCACGTCGTGCCTCGCCGTCCTCCAAACCCGCTCCTGTGGAGTGGACCGGGGCGCCTGCTGGAGTGCACCGAGTCTGCGCCTGGCGGAGTGGGCCGGGTCCTCCGAACTCCGTCTCCTCCTCAGTGCCACCAACCGGCGCTGGCGACCGGGGATGAGTGTTCCTGAAACCCAGTATCCTCCTTTGTCACCATCGCATCTGTCACTGAGGCTTGCGCCTCTCCGTGAACCGGATCACGCCGCGTCTCGTTGGAAGGATCTCCCATCTCGTCCTTTGACACGGCAACCGGGTCCTGCCGCATGACACGTGCCCTCGTGTCGGTCGCGATGTGGACACGACGTCTGCGCACATGGGACACAATACTCTCATCCCGTCTGCCCCCGCGTCTCAACCGCTGCAAAATGATGCGACCACCGAGCATAACATCGCCGTCCACACGCTCCTCAACCCTGTCGCCACGGCACCCGCTCCCTCCACCATCACCCCCCCCCTCACCGCCTCCGCCATCTCCCCCCTCGTCACCGCCCCCGGGCCCTGCTGAATCACCTCCCTCACCCCCGCTTCCACAATCCCCTCCCCCCCC